TTATCAGGTCCTGACCTAGATCCCCGATCTCCCAAATGAGTGTATGGCAGAGGTTAAATAAAAGGAGACAAATTGTATGATTTTTTAGGGTTCCAGGAGGGTCAAAACCCTTTAATTGAGCTTGAGAATCCAAGGGCTAAGAAAAAGACTTTTCTGGATCAGCCCACTTTTATTAGGGCCAAGGACAAAAGGCAGGGAAACTGAGGAAAGCACAGGAAATGAGCAGGACCTTGGGAGTTGCTTCAAAGACTTCTCCAAGTAGTAAATTATGCCAATTTAGGAGAACTGTCCTATCTCCAAGATGACATTTATGGTAGGATAGAGACTGTAGGAGCGATTTCTGCAGCTGCAGTCTCTATCTTGCTAATTGGGGTTGGAGCCAAGTATCTGCAGCTGTGGCCTTATCTTGCCCTTTGAGGTATCTTTGGCCTCACAGGCACTGCAGGCCTCAGCCAGGACAAGTGATTCATAGAGGTTCACTTACTATGAATCAGCTCCCACCACCAGGCAAGGGCCGAGGCCTAGGCCAGACTCACAGATAAACATAGAAAGCCAATTAATAAAATTTAAATTCTGCTCAGAGTCGCTTTGTAGTGGTCTCCAATAACTGAGGAATTTTGCTAGGAAATGGAGTGGTTGGTAGATGGAGGGGAATAATAGACTGTGTATATTTTACATAAGAAAAATTAACATTACGCTAGTGGCAAAGATTTAGTGTAAATTTTTTTTTTCTAGAGATTCAGGAAAATGGGCAATTGTAGGAATGAGGTCCCAGTTTAAGGACAGGATCTAATACATCAGAAAAGGATCTGGTCTTCAGTGAAAGAATAAAATGAACAAGAGCATCAAGAAGAGGGCAAGGACCAGATCCACAGATGTTAGTTCTCTTCTCATTACTTTTACTTTTTCTGTTAATTAGGCAACAAGGTCACCAGCTGAGGGGGGAGATGTGCTGGAGGTTTGAGAAGACAGAAGGTACGAAATGGTACCCGAAAGAAGGATGATTACTGGCCTAGGGAAACAAATGCTGAAAGTTAGCGGAGAGGAAGTTAAAATGGGACTAAGCACCATGATACCTCTCCCTCTAGCTACATTTAACCAAATGGATATGAGTAGAATCAGTGGAGCTAAATTCTTTTTGTCATACATTTTGGTTCTTTCATTTAAAAATTGTACAGAAATATAAGAATATGCCACAATTTATGAACACTGGTACTTCTGTTGTGCCCTTACTCTTTTTATGTTGTGCTTCCATGGGAGCGTTTCTAGTGTAGGGTAATGCACCAACAAGTAGATCTGCTAGGTTTTGAGGAATGCTTAATTTCAATTTTACTTGGCATTGCCAAATTATTCCCCAAAATGACTACCAACTTATCCTTTTACCAACACTGTATAAAATTCTCTATTCTCCCAAGATTCATATTTTTGCCAGTCTAATTGACATAAAATGGTATCACTGTTTTACTCTGCAGTATTTTCAAGTTTGAGCACCTTTTCACATCTGAGCCAGAATTTGTCAATCCCCACTCAACTGGCCACTTAGCAAGACTATACTAAGTGCTATCTTCAATTACATACTATGAGCCTGGCACTGTGACAAGCATGGGGACAGAGTTAGCAAAATTGACGTGGGCCCTGTCTTCCTGGAAACTACAATTTGGTATGGGAAAAAAGAAACTCAAATAATCACAAATGTGGTAATAAAAGGGATATTAATATTTATGAAAACTTAAAAGGAGGACAATTTAGTTGAAGAAAAATTTTTGAGTGGTATTTGTGCTTTAACAGATGAGTAGGATTTAACTATCTTTCTAAAAGCCCACTGAAACTCTTGAGAAACCCAACACCATCATCTATGTGCCTAACAGGAAGACTTTTTTCACTAAAGTGTACTAGATTCCAAAATACCTAGTAGATACAGTACTCGCCCTGGGCTCTTTCCCAAACACACAGGAAGACACTGGTTTTATTCTGGCTACCTTTTACAACTTTGGATGTTAATCCTGGGCTAGATAACTAGATATTGTACAATCAAGTTTTTTGCATACGAAGTCATACCAATGCCTTGTCAATGCTTGGCAGGCAGGATGCCTCTGAGCCACATCCATTGTCCTTTTTATTTTGATTCAGGATTTTGCTGAGTTACCTAGGGTGGTCTTGAATTTGCAGTCCTTCTGCCTCAGCCTCCCAAGTAGCTGAGATTACAGGCATGCACCACCAAGCTTACTGTTACATCAGTCTTGTACCACCTGGTTATACTACCAATATATGCTGATTCCATAAAACAATTTTGGATACTTTTATCTATTTCTGATGTTTTAAGGGGAAAAAATCAATAAAAAAAGAGGGTGCTTAAAAAGATAAGTCTTCAAAGTCATCATTAAAACCAGTACCAAAACCTATCCTAATAAGGGACTTAAAGAGCTCAAGAATTTGTAGCAACATATTTATGATACATATTTTAGATATAACCGTTTATTATATGAGTTATGTACAATAACTGACTTATCAAGATGGAAAGGTGCGGATGAAATTAAATTTACTGAATTTCCTCTCTGCTTAGCTTCTAACCTAACCTGCCATCATATGTCTTCATCCACATATCTTCAAATGACAGCTATACACAGTTCCTCAAACCTAACATGGGTCTGGAGATGATAGAGGTTAAGAGGATAAGAACAATGGCTTTGCAACCAGAAAGTCACAGATATAACACCTGAATCTGCCATCAGTATTAAGACTATAGGCAAGTTATTTACTTCCTTAACAAGGATATAATACATGTAATGGGTGTACTTAATGCAAGCAAGAGAAATAAAAAATTAGCTTAAGGTTGAGGCAGAGGATTTCAAATTGAAGACCATGCAAGATAACTTAGTAATAGTTGTACTTAACTTTGAAAAAATTCTTGCAAAGGACCTGACTATCTGAACCAGGTCACATGACTACCCTTAAGAGTCCTACTCTAGAGTCCTAGGAACACTCTGACTTCTGCTCCTGTGGTCGGTACACCAGGGATTATTACATGAGAAAGGAGAAAACACTGGCCCAAAACAAGAGCTACCATAGCCCCTCTAAGTAGGGGGTCACAAAAACTAAATGACGGAAGTGCAACACTTAGATCAATGTCATTCACATAAGGGACAAAGAAATGACAACTATTATTAACTTACCTAGTTGTGAAGAACTTACCAGTTAATGTGACCTGCTTGATGTGCCATCCTTTAATCTTAGCCAAATTCTGAAAATTCAAAAAGACAAACTGACTTCTGTTCAACTCGGAGGCTGTTTATTAAAAGGATACAATGCTGTTGCAAGGATACCTTTCATGCAGCACTAAAAGGCTGCCTTCCTAAGCACCCGGTTGCAGGACTGCTGGTACTGGGAAACCCTCTGTTCAGTGAGCCACACATTTGTCCTGGCTCCCTCCCTGTCCATGAAGGGGTGTTGGGATCTGAGTGATGGTTAGGCCAGGCTCCACACACATACCAGGAGTCTCTTTTGGGTTTTGTGGAACCAAATTTGGTAAGTTTCAATAACATTGTGGATCAGCACTCAATTGGTCACAATTCATGCCATCCCCACCAAGTAGTCTACTATGGGATTTCCCAAGCAACCAGAAACCAGTTCCTGACAGGTACTCCAGCTGCTCAGTAGGGGAGCACCTCACTAGAATTAAGCTGTCAAACTATGTGTAAGATCACATGAACATGGCCGTGATATGTGTGCTAAGCACAGAGCATCATAAACAGTCTTTTTAAAAAATGGCTAATGTTTTGGACAGATCTGCTATGGAACATGCCATCCATCTTGTTTCACAGGTGAAAGATGTATTAGGCTATACATATATACCACATCAGCTCCCATGTGTATTTACCTGTTCTCTTCAAAATGACAAAGAGTATTTGAGAGCTACCTCATGCCATCCAAGATTAGAGAGGGGCAGTAGATTCCACTACATGGTGTGCAAAGAAGTCAGTAGGAAAGGCCAACTGTCATCACTTATATCATCTCTCCCTGAGGATCATCATGGCTAGGAAAACTCAGTGTGGGGAGTGGCTCTTGTGTGCAAAGGATCAATTCTACCATTGTTTCCAAGTTTTTCTGTACTGCTGGTATTGATGAACCAACAAAGGTTCTAGAAAATCCTTTAGGATAGCTGATACGAGGCACTAGGAGACATTAAGAATTGAAGTGGGCCAGTGAAACTTAGTTCATGCTTTTCTGATGGAAAAGAAACACCGAGGTAAAACAAGTTTTGTTTTTTAGCAGAGATGTATTTCCTTTGCACATAATATAAGCCTAACTATGTTGTTTCTCTAATGAGTCAAACACAGAAATGGGTAATTGAGTTTATACTTCTCTACAACAAAACTAATTTAGGAAACAACTTCCTTAGTTTTTTGTGCTTTCTCCATTGATCTGATATAGGAACCTTGGGGCAGTACTTTTTCATGAGTGTGCCTTTAAAAGTGCAATTTTTAAAAAACTTCATAGTTCTACAAAACTGATATATGTTAGCAGAAAGTGAAATTATAACTGCAAAAAGAAAAGAAGTCATCAGATTAATCACCTAGTTTCTATTAACATTTTGGTTTACAAGCTTCCAATAAACATCCTTAAATAAGTTTGTGACAAATTTGTATATATTTTGCTGTCTCATGGGCTTTCAGGAATTCCAACATATCCAATCCATGGGCACTTATTAAATGTCTGGATATCTGACCTGCATAAAATTTATTTAAAAACCCTTTGAATTCCAAAATACCTTTTAGGTAGCAATGTATTGGCCCAAGGATCTAGGAAACCTTTTTCCACTCAACTCTGCCATGATAGGCTGTGCAAACCACTTCAGGTCTTTGGCTTTCAATTTTCTTTGTCTGCATAATAAAGTGGTTGGGCAAGTTGGTCAAATTCTCTGAATAATTCCTGGAAATGGAATTGGTTTTCATAGAGAATTTCATATAAGAGCTTAAGTTCAGTGCAATTGTCAAGCAATGTTTAAAATGAATTTCAGTAGAAATTTTATTTATTTTTAAAAAGGCTGTAAACAGTAGGAGTTACACATCAAGCTGTGGAAAGTTGCTGATGTCCTATATGCCTATATTTGGAAGCTTTGTAAAGTCCAATATATAGGCATATCATTTCTAAACGGCTACGTATGTTTTTATAAAAGCCTATAATTAGACATGAGAATGTGGCTTTTAACTTATTAAAAATTTTGTCTAGTGGTACAATTTTCTTCACCACAACATACAAACACACGTAATTACATTTTCAGACTTTTCCTCCAGTAAGAATCCTCTGATACTGAATTGGAACAGTATTTTAACTCAAGCTTTCTATGCATTCCTTAATTTTAGGGTTCCTGCAGTTTATTTCTTGTATGAATTCTCTGGTGTTTAGTAAGGGCTGAGCTTCTACTAAAATTCTTCCCACATTCCTTACAAGAATAAGGTTTTTCTCCAGTATGAATTCTTTGATGATCATGTAGGTTGGTTTTCTTCCGGAATGCACGCCCACATTCATTACATTCATAGGGTTTCTCTCCAGTGTGAGTCCTCTCATGCTGAATAAGGGATGAACTCTGACTGAAAGCTTTTCCACAGTCAATACATTCATAGGGTTTCTCTCCAGTGTGGGTTCTCTCATGTTGGGTAAGTGATGAACGTCGACTGAAGGCCTCTCCACATTCATTACATTCATAGGGCTTCTCTCCCGTATGAATTCTGTGATGCTCTATGAAACTTGTACTTCTTTTGAAAGCCTTTCCACATACATTACATTGATAAGGTTTCTCTCCTGGATGAGGAACAGATTGTTGATTAAAGGCCTGCTCACAATCATAGGGGTTCTCTCCAGTATGGATTCTCTGATGGTCAGTGAAGTCTGAAATGTGACTGAAATCTTCCCCACAGTCATTACAATGGTAGGATTTCACTTCAGACAGTGTACTTTCATCTTGAGTAAGAGAAGAGCTGTGCTTAAAATCTATGCTGTAGTTATTGCTTTGGTAAGGTTTGCCTCTTTTATGAATCCTCATATGTTTATAAAGGGATGGGCTCTGACCAAAAGCCCTTCCACATATGCTACATTCAAAAGGTTTCTCTCCAGTATGAGTCCTCTCATGTTGGACAAGGGAAGAACATCTACTAAAAGCTTTCCCACATTCCTTACATTGAAAGGGCTTCTCTCCACTATGTGTGACTTCATGTTGAGTAAGGGATGTGCCATGCCTAAAGGACCTCCCACACAGATTACATCGATAGGGCTTCTCTCCAGTGTGAATTCTCTGGTGTTGGACAAGGGAAGAACTGCGTTGGAAGGCTTTCCCACAGAGACTGCACTGATAGGGTTTCTCTCCTGTATGAGCATTCTCATGCTGACCTAGGGACGAGCTATGCCTGAAGGCTTTCCCACACACATTGCACTCAAAGGGTTTTTCTCCAGTGTGAATCCTCTGATGCTCAGTAAGCTGTGTCTTCCAGAGGAAAGTTTTCCCACAGTCAGTACATTCATGGTGTTTCTTGCCAGGGTAAATTCCCTGACCTGTACCATTGGGGAAAGTGTCTTCTCCTTTATGAGTTTTCTCATGCTTAGTAAGTGATGACCTGTGAATAAAGGCTTTTCTACATTTATTACATTTATAGGGCTTCTTTTTTGCAATGGTATTATTCTGATTAAGTAAATCTGAATTATATCCCAAACTGTTTCCAAGTGTTGCACATTCACTAGACCTTATTCTTGAAGGAATGCTCAGTTGTGGAATCAAGTCTATGTTCAATCTAGAGTTTTCACCAAACTTATTTTGCTCAAAACTCTCCTCTGGGGTAGTTATTTTCTTCTGTGTAGACACTTCTGACCCCAGGTATAGCCTCCAATTTTCCTGGTGCCTCCCTAGCTGGCTAGTAACATTCCAGGCATCTTCTAATGTGACATGTGAGAAATCATCTGTGTGATGGGATACTCCAGATGTGCAGTACAGCCTTAATGATTTAGCTTCTGGGCTTGTCTTCTGGTCTGAAAGAAAGGAAAAGTACAAAATTCCCTATTCCTTCTTGTTGAAACAAATGACTACAATAGCAATAAGGAAATGAATGGGGCATTGATTATGTTTTGAAATTAGTCCTGCAGCCCATGAAGAGGTGACTGGGGAAGGAATTTTTTCATTCTTGCCATTTTGACAAATTTCCTTAAATGATCCAGAGTATGCTGAAGGTTCAGAGAACTGGGAAAGCCCAAATAGGTGGACTTGTTAGGGAACAAGAGTAGAAATGAGCATGAGAGTGTAGGCAGAGATACAACTGGACTAGGATCAAGGGCCAACCTGCAGGATTCTATCTGCTCTCCATGTCTCCGGTTCATTTTACAAGGTCTACTTTTGTTTTTTCTTTTTTTTAAATGGTCCTGGGAACTGAATCTAGGACCTTTGCACTGACTTATATTCCCAGCTGTTTTTATTTTTTGAGAGGGTCTCATTAAGTTACTGAGTTTCTCATGCTGCGCTCAAACTTGAGATCTGCCTACATTAGCTTCTCAGAGTGCTGGGATTGCAGCTGTGCACCACCATGCCACCTTATCTTTAAAGTAACCTTTGAGCTTCCAGGTCATTAAACAATTCAGAGAAAATCTACCATCAATGATCTACCTAAAAATATTCTTTGATTTATTTGGAGATTGAGGACTATATACAAACTCAGAAAAAGTATTTCATGGAGCATCTTTGCTGTGATTTTAGTCTGAGCTCTGACTCTTCACTAATCACCCCTCTTAACCAGAAGGATTTATTTAAGTCTGCTTAATAAATAGGTCTCTAAGTATGTTTTTATCTCAGAAGATTAATACCAGATAATTAATTAATTGGTAGAATTCAAGGATGGTAACTTTCAGAACTGAAGGGCAAAAAGCTTTCTGGAACAATAGAAATGTTCCATATTGACAGGTATTTGGGTGAGAAAGAGAAGGCATTTGTCAAAACCAACTGAATGGTACATATAAGAGGTGTGTTTTCATTGTATGCAACATTTTCTTAAACAACTATAAAAATACTAAACAGTAATGATGTGTGTAGAAGTGAAATGTACTGTGGTCTGCAATTTTCTTAGAGAAGCCTCAACAAGTAAAATGATTTGATGAATAGATGAAAAGATATGTGATAAAGCAAATTATAAACACAGCAAATATAAAATCTTTGTGTCATATATATGGTGACCTCTGTATGATTTTTCCCTCCAATTTTTCTATGTATTTGAAACTTTTTATAAAATGCTGTAAGGGGTTCAAAAAAAAAAAAGGGTCCCTACCACCCCTCAAATTCCTTACTCTGAAAACAGAATCAACTTAAATTAAAAGGCAAAAAATAATTTGCTTTTTTTGTTTGTTGGTTTGGTTTGGTTTCTGTGGTACTGCACATTGGATTTAAGGCTATGCATATACTAGGCAAGTGCTCTATCACTGAGCTACACTTCCAGTCCATTTTATTTTAAGATAGAATCCTTATGCTGGTTTTGAATTTGTGGTCCTCCTGCCTCAGCCACCTATGTAGCTGGGATCAGTGCCTTATGCATGGCTGATTCCTAATTGCCTTGGATGATGAAAAGGTTCTGATGCTTTACGTGACAAACAATGGTAATGTATGTACAACTGTGATACACACACAGACACAAAATCACATGTACACTTCAGAAGAGTGACTCTTGCAGGATGTGGTGGCACACACTTCTAATCCCCAGCGCTTGGGAGGTGAGCCAGGAGGATCATAAATGCAAGGCCAGCTTGGGTTACACAGCGATTTCAAGGCCACCATAAAATATATAGCAAAATCCTCTGTCAAAGGAGGAGGAGGAGGAAGAGGAAGAGAAAGAAGCAGATTATCTCTTATAATATGTGAATTACACCTGGATAAAACTCTAATTTAAAAACTACCCAATATAAGGCTAGGCATAGTGGTGTACATCTGTAACCCCAGCACTTGGGAGGTTGAAGTCTGAACTACATAGTAAGATCCTATTTCAAAACAAACAACTAAAAAAAAACTCAAAAAACAAAATAGACAAAAACACCAATATAGATTATAAAAAACAAAGAATGAATAATTCCATTTGAGAGTTATAGTAATCTAAGCTCAGGACCTGATTTAAAATATTACCACAAGAAGTTAGAATTCAGGAAAAATCTAAAAAACTTCTCAAAGGAAGAAAATAATCTGGTTTGAAAGAAATAAAAAGACAGGCCAGGGATTTAGCTCAGCTGCTCAGTGGTTTCCTGCTAAGTGTGATGTTCAGTTTGATTCCCAGTACCAAAAAAAAAAAAAAAAAAAAAAAGGACTAAAATTATTATGGTGTCTAGCTTTAGGGATTAGAATTGAGTAACAGGCAAGGTAGCAAGATGCACTGGCTGGAGATGAAAGCAGCAGAGACTGGAGGGCAGATTTCTTAAGGCAGCTTCATTTAGGGGAAAAATAAGAAAAGACTTTATCACAGCTTGGAAGTAAAATGTTCTCCAAAGGCCCACGTATCAAATGTGTGGTGCCCAAGATGTGCTACCAGGAGATGGTAGAACCTTTAGGAAATCAGGCCTAGGTCACTAGGGGTATGTCTTTAATGGGATAGTGGGACTCTTTCCCTTTTGCTTCCTGGTTGATGAAGTAAATGGCTTTCCTCTACCAGGTGATCCTCTTTTGATGTGTTGCCTCACCCCAGGCCCAAAGCAACAGTGCCAACCCATCCAAACTGGAACCTCTGAAACTGTCAACCAGAAAAATCCTCTTCTCTTTATAAGTTGATTACCTCAGGCATTTCCTTAGAGTGATGGAATGCTGACTACCATAGACCTAAAAAGTCCAAAAACCCTTCACAAGGCAGAAGACTAGGAGAGGACAATACAATGGGGACATGGAGGGAGGCAATGGACCAAACCAGCATAAAGGTGATGGCAAGAAGATGGTGTTGCTCCCAGGACTGGTGTTTCACGACTGAGGCCAAGAAAAGGCGTCTGAAGGTGGTTTACAAAGGAAGGGAAACTCAAGGCTGCAATGTTTCCTACAAGTCTGGACCATCCAACAGTGAAATCAGCAAAGCAAAACAAGGAAATACTGAATTTAGATCTGAATAAGAAAAGGCCTCTCTACATAATGAAAGGAATCTGAGAACACAAGAAAAGAATCCAGCAAGATAAACAAAGATGGTATTCTCAGCCAGGCAAAGGTTGCTTTTAAAGAAGAAAAAGGGGTCAGTGTTAGTCCCCAAGACCTACTGACAACAGAGCACTCTCCTGGAGAAGAGGGACATGGAAAGCTGTCACTCCATGTCCAGAAGAGGGCTGCAGGGCTGGGGACATACATAGCTCCAGCAGCACAGTGCCTGCCTGGCAAGCACGAGGTTGTAAGTTCATGAGTTCAATTCCCAGTTTAAAAAATTTAAAAAAAAAAAAAAAAAAAAAAAAATATATATATATATATATATATATATATGGAGGGGTTCAGCTTCCTTGGCAAATCTAGGAGCTCCCCAATCAGCTCCTTCCAGGTGCCCACCTACAAACTGTGTCACTGTCTGCACTGATTCCTACAGGAGAGATCATACTCATTTACCTGGACAGAAAGGTCTTTGGATTTCTCCCTCTGATATCCATGGCTCTTCGCCTTGCTCCAATTTGAAGATCACCTCTGGCTTGGAAACTTGATATCCTGCTCATGGGTAAATACACAAGATTGTTTGTGCAAGTGGACAAAGAATCTTCCTACAAGTCAGTACTAGTCTTGGTCCTCAGGAACTCTGAAGGAAAAGCAAGATGTAACTTAGGGAGTCATGCAATTAAAGTGGCTGTCTGGCTCTGCAAAATAAATACCTGTAACCTAAAGCAGCATGCATAAAACCCTGGAAAGCTGAGTCCCAAAGAGAGAAGCAAGCTTTAGTCCCTGGGCACCCTGCTCAGTTACCCAGGCTAGGAGCACAGTGAGGGAAGTGGACCTTACCAAGAGAAACCAGGTGACTGTAGTTCTCCAGCATCACATCCCTGTACAAGGTCCTCTGGGCAGAGTCCATGTGATGCCATTCTTCCTGGGTGAAGTCCACGGCCACATCTTTGAATGTCACTGATTCCTGTCGGATCACAATCTTGCTCAACATCATCAATGTTCCCATGGCAATACTGGGAACATACCACTGTAGGACCTATCAGAAGCAGTATCACGCACTCACCACATTGAGGGAGCAGTGTTGGGTCTAATGTGTCCGCAAAAATTCACCAGGGGCAATGTGTCTTGCAAACCCACACCCCACTTACCACTCACTCATTCACCTTTGTTACAAAATCAGGGATGGTGGGAACTTAAAAGCGATAGCTCTTCTTTGTCCCCAGAACAATCTATTGCCAGAAATAATCACTCTTAACATTTTGGTTTATAAAGTTAAGAGTCTGTTGTCCAAATTTTACACACACACACACACCCCCAGTCTTGTATTATGAAACAATCATATGTACTGTTCTACAACTTGCCTTTCACATTTGACTGTGTATCCTGGAGATCTTGTAATTTCATCTTATTGTTTCACAGTCATTCACTGCAGTTTTACTTCAAGATACTTACTGCCTAAAACTAACAGCATTTCACTGCACTAAGAAAAAATTCAAGCTCTCCTGCCACTAGTTGGACATGATGATCTTGATTACGCTACACTCGTGGGACAAGTATCAAATATACACCAGATTTCAAAGACTTGTACCAAAAAAATACCTTAGTAGTACTTTAAAGATACTGATCACATCTAGAATAATCTGGATACACTGGGTTGAAAACTATGTATTACTAAAATTAATTTTATCTGTTATTTTTTGCATTGTGGCTATTAGACAATTTAAAATCACTACACATGCAGATTCTATTTCTTTTGGACAGTGTTGTTCTAGATCTCCACCTCAGGCCATCCTCTCCCGGCTTCTGAATCATTCTCTTAAACTTCACATCACAGAGTCCAGGCTCCTGCCACATGAACTCTTAGCCCTGGCAACTTTATTTTTTCATCCCCAGAATATTCTATTCTGACGATAGTGTACTTTCTTCCCTTAGCTCTACAGCAAAAATTCCTAGTCATCATTGTAGAAACAGCTCAAGGTTCGCTTTCCTTGTGAAGTTTTTCTAGATCCTCCACCCTCCTTGGACCCTCTTCAGCATTTGGTCCACATCTCCACTCCAAAACCACAACCATCTACTCATGTTTTTCTCACTCAAGAATTTCTCAAAATCCTTTAAATTTCAGAATGGCCAATACCAGTCATGTAGAGATTATTCAGAATCATCTGGGCAACTTTTCTAAATTGTCCACAAGTGGAAGACCCTATAAAGCATCTTTTAAAACTTCTTCAGGGCCAGCTGTGGTAGTGTATGACTGTAATCCCAGCATTTGGAGCCCAAGGAAGGAGGACTGCATGAGTTTGAGGCCAGCCTCAGCTACATAGTGAATTCAAGGCCAGTCTGAACTGTACAGTGAGATGCTGTCTCAAAAAAATAATTCCTCAGGTGGTTCCCAATATAAGAGCAACAGACAAGATTTACTGAACATTCACCACAGGCCAGGTACTACATTCAGTCATGGTGTACACCCTCTTTATATTTCTTCACTTAAGTGTACTGCTGCCCCTCAGAAAGGAGGCACCACTTCCTCACTGAAGCATGAGCCTGGTTAACAGCCACTACCTGGCACACAGCAGGCACTTCAAAAATATCTGATGAGCGAATGGTGGGTGGTTCTTGTTGAAGGGAAACAAGTGGTTTTGAAAAAGCTAAAACAAAATTATGAGTTAGAGCCGGGCATGATGACACATATCTGTAATCCCAGCACTCTGAGAAGCTGACTCAGGAGGATCCCAAGTTTGAGCCCAGACAGGGCAATGTAGAGATCCTGTCTCAAAATAAAAAAGGCCAAGGGCCTGGGTTCAATTCCCAGTAAAATACACACACACACACACACACACACACACACACACACACGAGAGTTAAGACTGTAAATTTTATGTTATCTGTACTTCACCAGTTTTTTAAAATTAAAAAAAAAGCTCTGAAAGACCCTGGGAAGATGGTAGAATGGTAAGCAGCAGAGTAAACAGCCTCTCTGAGAATCACTGCCCACACGCTAGAATCACGAGAAAGATGACAAGGAAAGACGTAGGTCCCCTGGACCAAGGAAGTACCTGACGTGCGAAGTGAAGCCCACAGTGAGAATAAAAAGAAAAACTTTAATGAAGAAGCGGGTATCTGGCGGCACCTTCGCCCTCAGATGGAACTCATTGCGCGAGAGTTGTTCAAACTGGGGATGCATGGTCATGGTGACATGACTGCTGGCAACCCGGGTGGTCTCTGCAGAGAGACATGGCAGTGGAGCGGAGCAGCAGACATGCAGTCCTGCACCGGCTGGTGGTGAGTGCGGAGGATTTAGTCCTCCCGTGAGGGAGACGCAGATTAGCCAGGAACCATTTTGGAGCCTGGTGGATTAGCTCAGAACCCAGAACTGCTGCTGGCTTCCTATAGCAGCTCCCAGCTGGGTACAGACCCGTGGAAATGGCTTGGACTGTGGCAAGCCCAATGAGTCCGGTCTCAGGGCAGCCTGCTGAGGTGATGCATTACTCTGCCATAAAGCAACTGTTGGCTTGCTGGGACAAATCGGCACGATTCAGGACTCTGTCCCCACAGGTTGACCACTACTGAACCAGACAGAATTCTGGAAGTGGACTATTTGTTTTTCCTTTTCTTTCTTTCTTTTTTTTTTTTTTTTTGTTTACTTTTCTTCTCTCTTTCTCTTCACTTCTATGAGTGTGAAAGTGGTTCCTAACCTCTCTATGGATGTGGTTCTGTTCTGTTCTTCATTTTATCTCTGCCATCTCTCTTTTCCTTCCATCTTCTGCACCCGTTTCCCACAAGCTGGTGTACCCCTTTGTCCTTCAACCTCACTTCTAATCTCTTTATCATTTCACTCTCTATTTCCTCCTTAATCCACTTTAAATTATAACCCTGGGGACAAAATTGACACATTATGGACTTATATACTGCATATAATTATCTGGTTTGTTTTACATTTTGCTATATAATCATAAATCCAGTTTATATGGTTAAAAGTTGCAAATTAAGAGTTAGCTCAAAAGTTAGCTGTTTTCTAGGATGTGTTAGATGCTATTGGTAATACTATGGCCAAAATTGACATAATTGTTCTAAACAGCTGTTGGTCCTGATAATCCATGACTAAGATTAACTAAGGATCACAGAAAATGCAGTGGCACAGTGCCAAAGAACCAGGGACTAAGCCTAACAAGCAACAACTTCTCCAACATCCTGAAGAGGTAAGATCTTCCAACAGACTCAAAACCCAAAAGCCAGCTATACCTGGAAGATAACTCAGAGGAAGTAATCACCATCTAAGGGGCCTAAATGCTACCAATAAAGCAACCCACCATCGGCAACTTACAAGCATCACCCCAGGAAGTAAACTAAAAAAATAGACAAACTAAAATGAGAAGATGCTTCAGCAAAATGCAACCTCAGACATCCAGTTCGAAGGCAAATCCAGAGCAAGGAGGTGGGACAATCCAAAAGCCTCCCCACCCCCCAGATCGCTCTCAAGTGGAAACAACAAAAAAATTGAATGAGGATCTGGAAAAAAAACTAAATCAGAAAAAATCTCTCTGTTAACTACAGAGATTACCAAAATACATGCCATGCTTAGCAACATTAGAGCAGATACAGGAAAATTAAAAAAACACAAGCTTAAGAAAATTATGGAAGCTTAGCATACAAAAGAAATGGAATCGATAAAGCAGATTCAAGCAATATCCAGGAAAATAAAAACCCCATTAAAAATATCTGAAGCAGATTAGGCCAATGTGAGAACAGGATCTCACAGATTAAAGACAAGCTTGTGGTTAGCAACCAGGAAAAGAAAGGTTTCTCAAAAACAGCAAGGGACCATGAGAAATCACCCTGTCAGCTGCTAGATGACACAAAGAATAACTTAAGATTAAGATTAACTGGAGTCAATGAACAAGCAGGTTTATCACCAATGACATTTTAAAAATGTTCACAGATATCAAGACAGAAAACTTGGTAGAGAAAAAGAATTTGATATACAGATAAATGAGGCATAACTCTAATTAGCTATGATAAAAAAATCTACAGCGAGGCATATCATAATCAAGATTCCAGAAATTCAACACAATACAATTCCAAAAACTGTTACAGAAAAGAAACAAATCACAAATAAAGGAAAGTCCATTAGAATTACAGCTGAGGGGCTAGGGATTTAGCTCAGTGGCATAAGCGCCTGCTTTGCAAGCAGGCAGTCATGAGTTCGATCCCTGGTACCAATAAAAAGGAAAAAGACAAAAAAAAAAAAAAAGAATTACAGCTGACTTCTCAGCACAAACTCTCAAGTCAAGGAGAGCTTGAAGTAGTCCAAGTTCTAAAGGAAAACAACTTTCAACTCAGATTGCTGTACCCCGACTATTGATGGAAAAATAAGATACTTCCATGACAAAGAACATCTGAGGAAATTTACGACCACCAAAAAAGCACTCCAAAATGTTTTGATGGACACTCTAGAAAGAGATAATATGGACTGCAGCTCCATGAACCCCAACAGAAGAAATTCCCCAGGGAAAGGAAACAATTAGAGGGAGGGAAAAAACTGGGAAAGCCAACAACAGGAAAATAACATGACAAAGATAATTCAAAACATATCAGTTATAACCATCCATATTAGTGGTCTCAATTCACTAGTCAAAAGACACAGACTGCCAGAAGGATCAAGAAGCAAGATCCAACAATATGCTATATACAAGAAACACATTTAATTAACAAATTCATAGACTGGAAGTCAAAGGATGGTAAACAATACTCCATGTGACAGGAATCCAGAAAAAAAGCAAGAATAGCAATCTATTTTTGGTACCAGAGGTTGAATTCACAACCTCACACTTGCCAGGACTTATGCTGCTTAGCTAAATCCCCAGCCCATGGAGTAGCTATTCTATTTGCAGACAAAGTGAATTTCAAGCCAAGACAGATAAAGAAGGTCACTATATCCTCATAAAGGAAACAATCCATGAGGAAAAGACAACAATCAAAATATATATGCAACAGATATCAGTGTACCCAACTAAATAAAACAATTACTAATGGACATGA